AATTCGATTACTCGACGAGAGTTAGTATAAATGCTGTCAAGCAGGGCAGGTTATGCATTCGTTAAATAAGTTTCAAAGGAAATAAACTCGTATTCATGTAACAAATGGGGAGATCACGATAACCAACCATGATCGTAGCAAAATCTCCTGGTGTCAAACCTGTGTCGATTTTCCAGTATTCATTGGTCTTGTCCCCTAGTCTACTGATGGGGTTAAATTTAAAGCAAAACCTGCAAAATGATAGATGTTCGCTTTGGAGATTAATACCTTCTTTTTATGTAATATAACACTGATTACGAATGTTTTACTAAAACTATTAATTATTGATATGTCCCGATCACATCTCAGTAATTAAACTTTCAGATTTACGAAGACAACATAAAAAAGATAAATGTTATATTTACAAAATCCTCTTACTCTCGACTGCTGAAACAGTCATCCAAACATTTTAACATTTAATGAAACTTTGGGATTGGAAGTCTATGTCTATGATTTACATTTAAAGAAATAAAGTCTATACCCCTCTTTTCTAAAAAGGCTTTTCAATTTTTAAACGATTGAGTAAAAAAATGGTTTCAAAATAACCGCCAACAACCCATCTTTCTTCGATCAACAGACGCTGGAGTTTGAGTCAGATGCCGACTTTCGCAATAGAGTTGCTGGGAAGTGGTTTTAGAATATCAGTATAAATGAGACTAGAGGAACGTTGACAAATGCGTACAAAAGGTTTATTACAAAGGCGAGAGGAGCCCTACCGAAATGCAATATCTGCGAGCAGAAAATATTTCATCGTTATCTCGCAAAATTGATTGCATCCGGAGAGGCTGTTATTCTTGCTGATGGAAACCACTCCGGATTTCTCATCTGCAGGAGAAAGGAGTTGTTAAAGGTCCTCTGTTGATACTTTCATCAGAGTCCTATCTTCTACTTGAGGTTGTATAATTAAGGCAGAAAGTTATGGATTAAATTGGAGATTATTATGGATTATTAGTTATCGATTACTACTCATAAATGCTAATAAATAATATACGAGTTAGCTCACAATAGATGCAATCGAGCTGTTCATTGAAATCTCAATTTTTAAATTATTTTATAATTTTTCGAAGTCAAAATTTTAAGTCTAAATAAAATTTAATTTGTTTATAAGCTTTATGGTTCAATGTTAATTATAAACACTACTCATTTATTATTACTCTATTCACCAATACAATGGACAATGATAAGTGTTCATGTAAACATCGGTTCTCATGCTTTGATTTAAAAATATCGTAGAGATTGTAGTAAAATGTTCTGGTAATGCAGTATTTCGTATTCAGAAATAAATGGCTTAACAATAACTTTTTTAAAAGCAACATATCTTTAGAATTCCCGATTGAGTGTTAAGTGTTGATATATATTTAATTTTATATTCGGTGTATTATTCGTATTTACTCTATTGTTTCTTCGAAAATAATACATAGCGATAACATTTGGTGGTAGCATCACTTTATTTGTAAAGTGATTCGACATAAAAGTGAAACGATCACATTGAGGATTGAGGCTAATACATTTAATTGCCTCATACGGAAATTTGTCCTTATAATGACTTTATTTTCGTTGCATTTAGCATTATTCCAAGAAAACGTTTTGCTTCTAAATTTAATATACTGTTCTCAGTAACATTCCTATTTTAAATATCAAATTTGAGAACTTTTTTATTACATCATAATATATTTTTTTACAAAGGTCTGTTCAGATCTTTGAGTAAAGTATCGCTTCCGGTTTATCAATTTTAGCCAAAATCCAATTTATTGTTCCCATCGATATAAAAGTCTTAATACTTAAATTGAAACGTTTTGGATTATAATTTAATGCAATTTTTCATTAAAAATTGTTTGGACTTCATATAAATTTCCACTTTCTGTTGTCTATCAAAGACTGTTATCGACTTCCTATAAAATACCACTTCCAATTATTCAGTTTTACCCAAAGTCTAATACTAGTGCAGAAAATTTAAATACAGATGATGGAAATTTTTGGAAGTTTCATACAAGAGTTATCGTGGACGAAAAATTGTCTTAAATAGACACACGCAAATTCTGGTATAAGATTAGGATTGCTCAGATTACTTCAAAGCAAGCCAACGCCAGACCGGCATATCGAGGCTGGCTTTGTGGTGCAGTGTTAAAGAAGAGTTGGCTCATATTCGCGTTACACATGGGGAAAATCCATGAAAGCTTCCCCACAGTCATTATGTTCGCTGAGTTGGGAACCAGGTCGAAGTAACAATGCTCAAAATTTTTACCGCTCCTCCGCTGGTAAACCTCTTGAAATCTGATTTAATAAAAGAAATTTGGTCTAACTCTCAGTGTACATATCTGTAAATGATTCAAAATTAGGTAAAGAAGCTTATATTAATACGTAAAAAGCTGAAATAAACCAAAAGTTAAATAATCTATTATCAGCTTACAGCGGCAGCCTTTGAAAAGTGCAAGAAATGGTACTTACGGAAAATCCCGTCGATCATTTTTGCCTATTAGAGAAAAGACGGCAAACTACGCGATTTTTCTTCAAAAATGGAAATATCTTCTTCAAACACGCTGGGTTTGGTATAACCTTGATCACACACGTGTTTGTTATTATTCTTGAGTAAAGACTCATTTTTTCCCCTCTATCACGCATTTTCGGAAGTAAATTGATTAAAATTTGGGACCTGCGTACTACAGAAGAGCATGTTGTTGAATATTTCCAAAGTTATGGAATCTTACAGGCCTTAAAAAACTGCGTTAATGGCCACGAAATTGCGCCTAGCGAAAATAGTTGCTTTTACAGTAAATCTCCTTAATAAAAAAATGGAAATTTTTAATGAAACATTATATATAAATAAAGGATAATATAATAAATTTGAAAGAAAAATAAGAATAGAACTTTTTATTGTATTTAGTAAATGGGTTTCTTTGGTTTGAGGCCATCTCTTGTGGTCGACGGGATTTTCCGCAAGTACCACAGAGGTAATCTTATTTTTTAAACGTAATGTTTAATAGTGAATATATTATCTGTATGACATATGATAGCTCTACTTGATGAGACGGCTCCTGAGCTGTCCTGTAGGACAACAAACAGAATAATCCCATCCTGCGGAAGAAATAAACCACTATGAGCGCACCACAACTAAGGGCCGGGTGGCGGATCAGATGTACTAAATAGAACGATAGTCATAAGAAAATGAAAGTTTTTGAAATGAAGACAATTGTGCCTTGTGCACTAGGTGCTTCGTGTGATTAGATAAAGAAAAATGATTTAGGAATAAAACTATGTCTTGAAGGAAAAATGTAAAAAGCATTGATTAAAGTTAGACATGGTAATTGGATGTTTCGACTTTGAGATTTTAAATTTAAAGAACTAGCATATACACCACAACCAAAGAGCACATAATTTGTGAATAAACATAATTTGACAAAAGTTTCATAAAGGAACTAAGCGTAAAGAGAAGCTATTTCAACATATCTAGCAGTATGACGTATGGCTGAAGAACATCGTTTTATGATATGGCTTCGTGTGCCTGCAGAAGGCCCGACTCGTAGTTTCTAAATACGTAGATTAAAAAAATATCACTTCTACATTCGCTTTCCTGTTATAGTTAAAAGCAGGCTGATAAGGACTTGCAGGTGGTGCGCCTTGGTATTTCCAGTTGGTGCGCAGCTCCTCTGGAGGGGTAATAGTGGAGGTTGAACCTCCACGACGTGCCCCAAAGGGGAGTGAGTGAGTGAGTGAGTGCACCGCTATGATGGCTTCCGACCACGGTTGAATATTACATACTAATAACACTTTTTACATATTGATAACTGCATGCACTAAGCGTTATTCTGGTTATCTGCTTTAAGTTCTGAACATTTGAAACATAATATTATTCACGGTTGTTTCTGCTTAAGCAGTGTCTTGAGATTTTCTCTATTTCATCCAAGTGCTACTCTCTTTTGAGTGTGTTAGACGTCCACATTGCCCAGGAACAGTCCGCTGATTTCTTTAAGTGCCAGGTTCTTTGCTATGTACTCAATGGAAAGTAATAATTGATCCGTGGTCGCTTTCCTCTCCGCTCATTTACAGAAAGGAGTATCCCTAAGTTGAATCTGTTCAGGTATACTGGGAATGGTCCATGACCTGTCACGAACTGTGTTAGGCTAGCACAGTGGGTCTTTATTTCCATGTTAACTTTTGGCAGTAAGCGAAAAGTCCTTCGTCCTACCTCTGCCTCTGTCCCATCTCTACTTTGCCAATTTTGTAGCAGACTTGTCAAAGTGTTCGCAATATGAAACCAAGGAAGTTTAGTGGTCTTTCTATTATCTGTGCAGTTGGCTGCCGCTTGACAGTAGTCAGCGGTTTTCATTGCCTTGAATTCCTTTGAGGAGAACTCATTTTAAAGTGGTCTTTTGCGAAATAGGCATGTACGAATCTGTTTCTGAATTCGGTATCCAAGAACTCCGGCTGTTTTGACTTGCGTAGCCGCCAGACTTGATGCCGAATCAGTGAGTATGGAGAATTTCTCCTGTTGACATGTGTTCGCATATCTAATTGCAGCACTAAAAGCTAGAAGCTCTGCTTGGTATACCGAGTTGTTCAAGCCCAGTTCCCTTTTCCACTCGAATGTTACAACTCCATTTTCCAGTCTAGTAGACCTGTAGTATGATTAAGTTTCACAGAACAAGAAATGCCCAAATGTTGTTGTTGATCAGGACTTGCATCTCCCATACCACGGTACCAACATCTTGTTCCCTCCCTTGCATCTGAACCTAATATGGCCCTATCACAGAAGTGCCTTCTTTGCGTGATGTTTATCTTGCGATTATATTCTTCGGAGACGCAATAACAAACAACTGAACTAGAACAATATGAAAACTTTTTCAGAGCACTGTATTTCGAAACACACTCCAGAATGTTTGAAGGAAATCTTACTGGGTGTTCTAAGCATTTAATAACATTTATAATATTAACGGTCATCATAATTAAAACTTGCATGCAAAATATTTATTTATTAAAGATTAGTACCACTTAAACTCATTTACTTATAATATGAATTAATAGACTAAAAGAGCACATGCTGCCCTTATTTCTTCAGACTACATAGAAATTTTGATTAACTCAGAGAATAAAATGAGACCATTCTTCCGAAGGTATAAAAACATTTTCCTCTGAGATATATTTTTTTTTCGCGAAACAATAGATGAGCATAGGTCCTTTTTATATTCTTTCATCCACCGTATTCACAGTTCAGATGCAAAGCTTTCAGAGGAATTATTATGCAGATTATCCTGAACAGAGCTGCTAATATACCTGAAATTCAAATTAATTATGGCAGTCTGACATATATTCTTGCCGAGAGAGACACACACAACTAATTTCTTAATACTTGAAATAATTAAAATATGACATTCAATTAATTTTAATTATTAAAAGTCAGATTTGTTCTTTCTACTTAAGTAAAACTAAAAATACAATACGTTGCTTATTTGATGGAATATGGCAAAGAGCGCTAGAGATGTTCTTGCAGGAGGACTTAGTGAGGGTAACTATAGGAAAACCATAAAAATCCCTATACTGCCAACCTGATCGCTGGGATTTATATTGCGAGAGGAAATATTGTTGTTAAGCTCGTATATGAATCCCAGCCAGTTTTTCTTAAAATGTTTTTCACGAAGGTCTACCTTCCCTTAAGCAAATATAGCCAGGCGGTAAATCACGTAATTCTAATCGACCGAGATAAAACTTAACTAAACATTAGAAAGAGATCTTTTGAGTTGATTATTTCACAAAGCAAAGAACAAAACAGTGTTATGTATTTAAAAACAAACAGTGTGATATATTTTAGTCTCTTAACAGTACTAGATTTATGAACAAGGATACTATTGTAAGAGATGAGAACATATTTAATTTAACGGTGGCCAATACAGGTAACATTAACACATGTATTATTTTTCAGAAAACGTATTTGACGTACAAGAACAATTCACATTAATCCTTTATTCTTAAGCTGGGACTCATTTCTATTTTTCTGATTAAAAATTCCCTCTTTTAAATGTGAATTTTTTACTTCTCAAAGAGGCGCCAAAAATACTTTTTAAATTTGTAAACTTTGTTTCAAGCACATGAAAGTTGTCTGCTTGAGGATGGGAAACTATGTAGACATCTTTTGAAGAAAATCTAATTCATATTCTTTTTACACATGGGAAAAAACCGAAAGTAACTAGTGTAGCCAGACTGCCAGTGGAAATGAAGTCGGAGCAACCTACCATTTCTCAACTTAATTCAGGTTTCTTATCCGTTTGCCGGCATATAATCTCCTTATTTTTCCCATTTCAGAGCATCTGGAAATTAGCTATTTTTATGCTAATATCAGTTTATAATCTAATACGTTGTGTCAGAATATTTATTTCTTAATTTGGTTTTTTAAACAAAACTCCTTTGTTTAAAATTTCTGCACTTTTGTTCTCACTTCTAATGGTCTAGTGGATGAGGTCGTCAATTATTAATATACCAGCGTTCGAATCCCAGCTGCTGGGCACCTGCATAGTTTCTGCTCCGCCATGTTTGGAGTAAATACAAATCGGTTTTAATACAAAATCTTCTACGTAGACAAAAATGCCTCACTTTAACCTACCAATCCAAACTTTTTGCAATAACCATCTTAGTAAATAAATTGCTTGCTTGATGAATTTTTCAGAATTAAGCAAGGCAATTAATTCAAAAGAAGGTTTCAACTGAAAATAGATTTATTAGTATTTTAAGCTCTAAAATTTAAGTCAATAGATAACTTTTTGTTGATAGTATTTTCTATGAGTGGTAAAATAATAAAGCTAATACTTTTCCTTTCATATTATAATCAGTGGAATTTAGACATTACTTATGACAGTTGAACTTTACCTAACCACCGGCCGAGTGGATAAGGTTGCTGAGCACTAGTAATACAGACCTTAGGAAAGAAAAAAAGGATAAATATATGAAGTTCTTAAAGTTTCATTCGTGTATGATGTAAATGCTAAAGTCAAATTTTCTTAGAAATTGCCTCAGGAAGTCAGCCCTCCATTTAAAGTATCTCACTAAACTTTGTTTATATTGCGAATTTCGTATAAAAAGATTAAGTATATAAATTAAATAATTTATAAGAAATTTTATCTATTTATGAAAGACAGTGATGTTGCATTTTAATTTTTCAACATTTTTGTATATATTAATTACACTAAACCGTAACGTTAATTTAAAGCTTAATTACGAAACTTAACTAATAAAAGATATATGACATTCTAGTGCTTACAGAAATTATAAACGATTCAATCCTTATTTAAGGTATCGTAATTACAAATTGTTAAATATTTTTTAAAACAAAGAATCGTTTTAGAATAAGGGTGTAATTGACTACTAAATCTTAGCAACTGATACAGTACTAAATTCAATTAAGAAAAGAATCATTTGTAACATCGAACTTACCCAGCACGTGGTACATCTTCTTGTGGAAATTCAGGTTTATGTTTGGCTACACTGAATATTCGAATCATGCTTTTAGAATCGCTCACTTATCAGCTTTTATACTTCTTGAGATCATGCTTCGGTTGCAGCATGCTATTACTGCTTACATGCATTATAAAGTTTCAACAAATTTCTGTTCATTATATCCAGATTTTCTTTAAACTCGGAAACTAAACCTGCACCGTTCATACCACTCCCTTAAAATAGTGAACTTTAACATCATTTTTCTCTAGCTGTATTTTCTTATCACTTTATCGGTTTTCCGAAGCCTAAGAAAAAGAGATTTGAATAAATGAATGTCTTGACATCTTTAGTAAATTACTGTGTAAATACGGATGCTATTATTATAACATATATACATAAATTAAATTTGTAAAAATACTCTCTGGACAGAGACAGACTTTCCTCTAGATTATTAGTATCCTGTACTGATATTAAAGATCGAACATCGTCTAAGAAGGTTTCTATGCTTTAAGATCATGATGTTCAGAAGATAGTATAAATATCGTGTTAATATCATAGTTTAGAATTTTCTTGCATTATATTGATTGAATTATGCATAATCAAGCGATAAAATATGTAAATATCTATTATCATTCCCAATGAACAAATTTTTAAACTATTTTACCAATAATTTCTTAACCGAAAATAAATTTCTTAGTCCATCATTTTCGTTTCTTAAATAAACAACAGAAATCTTCCACTTGCATTCTAATTTTTGCATTTAAATTATTTAGTTATATCCATCTTCACAATCATTATTAAAATAATTGTGATGCAAACTAACAAGTGTGTTATTAATAATAATCAGTTTTAATAGTTTATTAATAGTTTGTAGGCTTTCATGTATTTTAACTATCCTTTTCATTTCTCTTTTATCTTAAAAAGAAAACAAAAAAGTAAATTTCTGATTATCAAAGCATTTAGTATCCCTTTTCTAAATTGAAATCTTCCTTTTCAAAACCTTTAGTGATGCTCCAGTGTTTGATTCATGTCATTTGTGAAATATGCACTTTTTAAAATTATTTTTAAAATATATTTATAAAATTAGTAATAAACTAACTTCGTTACGTCAAATGAAAGAAATAACGACTATTCAGCAATGTAAAGGATCCGACTACATAAAGGGAACTAAAGATCTTAAATGTGTTCTTTTAATTCAGTTTTAATCGACATATAAATCTCCTGAATGCAAAAGAATTAAATACAGTTTTCATTAATTTATATAGTATAAAAATTAGTTACTAATAAAAACTTTTATTTTGTATTATAGAACGACTTTCCCTAAAGTCGATATATCTACAAACCAGTCGCAAATATATAATTCATATTCAAGCGAACCCAAACCGGTTTTCTGTTAGCAAGTAAACAAAGTAATTCTGCTCATTCGAATCTTAACAGTCTATTATACGAACAACTATATAAAATTCATGATATATATTATGAAATACAGCTGTCAAATTTTAATTTTACTTACTTTACTTAATTCTATGATATTAAATATCATATAACGAAATAAAAAGTATAATAATGAGCTAAAGCAATAAAAACCAATGAGTATTCGGGTGTCTACAGTCTTTTTAACAGAAATAAAATCTTCTTCTTTTGTTGCACACATGTGCTCATAAAGTACTGTTTAGCTTATCATTTATTTACTGAATTTATTTTCATGATATATCTGTATAGAATTTTTTTAATTATCCTGTATGCCCAATACACTCCCCAACACAATTCTTAAATTTATATACCCCTTTGCATGAATATGTGGATTTTACTTTTACATATGATGAATAACATCCGTGTTCACAAAGTCACTCAGCATAACTGAATATTCAGTCTAATAGGAACTTTCCGAATCTATGATACAGAGATCGTTTGTATTTAAAGATGGAGTTCTGAAGATCTTAAAAGCGTTTTACTGTTCTTGCATATTTAATACTTCATTTTATAAATAAACAAGATGTAATCCAAGAAGTCAAACTCATCTTTAGATTTTTCAATAGTATCTTCTTTCCTGAAACTTATAAAGTGATTGTGATGTTTAAATTATTCTTTATTTGTTTAAAATTCAGTCCAACATGCTGTTCGTATATTTGTAATCAACATCAAGAATTAATCAAGCAAAATGAAAGTATTTCGCTGTTGGCACCAATGAAATCTTAAAACTAAACTTTCAGACCGAACAAACGGTCACATTGTTTCCACGTCCACGCTAAATTTGAAACCAGCAGCAGAAAAAAAGATGATGTACGCTTTTTAGATAAGTAGAAGGAACTGGATTGAAACTGCAACCTTCAGTTGAAGTAGAAATGGCTTTATGAAAGTTTGTTTCAGTTTATTGAAAAGCTTTTTCGTTTTACTACTAGTCTTTTATTACAGAAGAATTCTTTGAAACCTATCGGATATACATATTTGGCTCCAGTATATCTTTCAGTATTACGCGAAAACTATAAATTTTTAAACGAAAACAGGGAACATTTTTCAATACCGATGGAATTTCAGTCAGATTTTCTAGTTTCGAATAGTTACATATTATCACTAAAGCTTGTATTTTACTCATATGTAACACGTTTAGCGGTTGTATCATTAACTAATATAATGATATATTATTTAGTGAATCTCAGGCAAAGGAGAATCAATAAGCATGCAATAAAACTTACTTCGTTTCCTCCCAAATGTAAAGTTTGCGCATATCTTCTTTGCACTCGTTGATAAGTCGTTCTTTGCTGACAGATTTTTTTTCAATTATTTTTCTCACCTTCACATTCAGAAGCGGTCTTTTTTTTATACTCAACTTCATAGCACATGAGATTGTTAATTAGCTTATAAATGCATCCTTGATTTGTCCTTTAGTTTCAGAGTTGCACAGCTTGTTCCCATGCAGAACATCTTTCAAATATCCAACATGCAAACTGGCATAATCCTAATTGCCAGGTTACTCTTTTGACTTAAATTGACATAGACATTAACAAAATTAATTTTAACTTTACCATTTCAGTTCTTATTCATTCCTTTCTTCTATGGATACGGAGAGGTTCCAAGTTGACAGATTCATTCCACATCTTTATTTACTTTCATAAGAGTCTGTGAATGTATTTCCTTCCTGAAGGTATATGGTAATTCTAAGTAAATCCGGCCAAATATCGAAGCTTTTCAAGCAGTTTATACTTCCTAATTCATCATTTGGTAATATTTATACTGTGTAATTATTTTAAATATTTGACTCTCTAGAAAATAATTTTCCATAAACAGTGTTTCAAGAAAGTTGTTTACGACATTGCAATCAGTTTTAGATACATATATTACCAAATCTTATGCATAGATTTAATGCCTTATAAACGTTGTGAAAATACATTTAAAAAGTTACATTTTCCGGCTGTCAAAGCTAAGTGTAATTAAGTATTTAGAAAACAAAATAACAAACCGCTCCAAAACTGCATTATTATAAAAGACAAAGTTTCTGTCCATCTACTAACATAATTTTTTCAGTAGAAGTAATTATTCATGGATACCGTGAAAAAACTTAATAATCGTCATTATAAAGAGAATAATTTTATATGGTCTATTTAACATTTTAGGGATTTAATATTTCAGTAACCTTTACAAAATTAAATACCAAAAATTATACATTAAAAGAGAGATACCTGTAAAGCAAATATATAAGAAAATATTTCTTTTATGTGAAATATTTTAGCTGAATAGTTTCAGAATTCTTTAAAAATAGTGCAGAATAAGGAACGGGCCTCTGATTCCTTAAAATGTAACAAAATTAACAGTGTTCCAGTTAAATAGTCATGCCTTAATGTTGTAATAAAGGTAACAAGAAGTACATCAAAGTGCAAACAAACAGTTTATATCCAAAGTGCTACTGCCAAAGCATAAGATATAATTGGAAATTTCTCACTTATTTTTCCAGTTCGGTGATTCAATTCGTGCTCGGAAAATTACAAATTCTTCGGCGCATACCGCAGGAGCGTTGAACTCTCTCGCAAGCTCACACAGGGATGAAAATCTATTTCTAATAACAGACGACTACCTGAACAGTAACCTCAGCAGTCCGTAAAGTTCTGCCTGCTACTGAGAGCAGCAAGTCTAGTCACTGTAATTTTGAGATCCACAGGTAGGAGTGGTCAACGAACAGAGCGGCGAGTGACTTCATTTTTTGCATCGATATATCGATTAAACCCACCATAACGTTCCTATACTAAATTATATGCAATAACGAAATGGACTATGGAACTAAGAAGAAAAGAAAATGGTAATAAATGCTTAATTTCAACCAAAAGGAAAAAGGCGACTAAAAGAAAATTCAAATTCCGTGCTCGCGTGACTATCGACTAGAAACAACAAGCCAGGGAGCGACAATTTGTGGGTAGTTTCTAGGGTCGGAAAAAATGTCGAATTTTCAGGTTACTGGTAGAACATGTTGAAGGAGCCTGGAATGACGTGACAACAAGAAATGATGCGACGGTGATGCATTATGGTTCAATTTCAATGCTTCGTGACCTACAGCCGATGTTAACGGGAACTTACGTCATACGTTTTTCGGATATTATCCAACTAACGTTAGTTGTTGGCGTGCTGTTTATTTACATTTCGTGACATGTATGTGAATAAAATGATAATTTGTAATCAAAGAGAGTGACAGTTAGGAGCACAATAATTACACTTAACGCTTGGTAGTGTTATGTATCTGAATTTTGGATTATGTCAAACCTAACGAAATGATACTAATGTAACTATTATAATGAATGTATTTCTGATATTGATGAAGACATTAACATTTTAACATTTGTTGATAGAAAACAGAGGCAAAAAGAATAGGATTTTTTTTTCTGTTAACGCAAGAATAACCGAAACAGATTGCATCTGATGAAAATCACCAGACTGGTATTAAAAGATATTTTTTCTGAATTAATGGAAGAAGTATTCGCAAAATTTATTGCCAGAACATTTTCATTTTTATGACAGTTCTGATTTGATTTATTTTATTTATGCTATTCGCCAAAAGCGCCTTAGCCGAGCTATTAGTCTCAAAACGGGATTTGGCGGAGTATCACTTTATATGCCTGAATCAAATTTCAAATAGTTGGCACGAAATATTGTCGCCCTGCATTACTTTTAAAGAAGTTAAATAATGAAAAATCTGCATGAATGCATGGTTTCTTTCACTGTGAAAAAAGTACGGTACCTAGGGCCATCAAATTTTGAAATAACGTGGTCCTCTATCCGAACATGTGCACTTGGCAGCTTGAATTTTGAATTTCGAATTTTATATTTTTTCATATTTTGCAAAACTTTAATGAATCTTTAACAAACCCTTCCTGGGCGACTGTTAAAATCTGAACCCTTTCAGATTTTCTTTTTATTTTGTTTACATTACTTTTATATTTTTTAATGTTTAGATAGAAGTATTAAAATATTCCAGTGAATGAAGAACGCCGTTTATTTATTTACTGGAATTTATACATTGAAATCGAGTCTTTTTCTGTTATAGCATGCACCAAGTATTTATTTGCTCTAATTTTCTTTAGAGGGATAAGTGTGTCAGATTCATATTTCCGGTGGGAAAGCTTATTTTCATCATCTACTCATTTCAGTAATTCTAAATTGTTTCTAAAATTAAAATATTTCCCTTAGAGTGATTTTTTTCAATCTCGAAAGATTGAAGTAAAATGACCCACATCAGAATCTTTTATTGACAATATTGGCACATATATGTTTCTGTTAGAAAATTGTTTGGGTCGTTTTCATGCTGTAACGTAAAAGTTTCGAAATCTTTCTTTAAATTATGCAAAAATGTTTAAGCCAATTTAATAAATGGAAAACGATTACTTTAGCATCAATTATTATCTTTATATTTCTATGATTTTGACAGAAACTATTCAGCGAATTTTGAAAGGCAAATAAGTGGTATTATTTCTTTAGAGCAGATTTGTCCTCAACACAATGCTTTTGCACATATGAGCTGAATATAAGCAGCCTTTAAAGTCATTGTGTAAAAAAATAAGAAAAGTGAAAGAAAAATAAAAAACTCATGAGCAAAGATGCGCAAGCTGTCTTTGAAATGAGAATTAGATTTTAATTTTTAATTATTTACTAAAATTTGTGAATTCCGTTGTACGTGAATGCACTAAAATTAATCCTAGAAATTTATTCTCAATTCAGTATTTCATTAATAACCCCTTATTTTTCAATTTTCGTTAGATTTAATAACACGCTTGGGAACAGAAACAATAATGCATTGCACTTTGCCATGGTATTTGACCTCAGATTTAATTCTGCTGATTCAATTGACTACATTTCTCTTTTAGAAAAAGCTGATTAAGTTGTCAACCTTAATCCACGCAATTAAATACCTCTTGATACTAGTAGTGAAGAGAATTTTGATGTGCGTGTAATCACTGAATTCGACTTAATTAAATTTTGCGTAATTATTCTGCTTTCCATTCTCCAGGTATTAATAAATCTTGCGACAGATTGTTGTTGTTTCTGACCCGAGTGCTTGATGACGAGTGCATTAACAGAGTGCATTAAACAGATGCGTAACATTAATTACGTACCACATGTCTAAAATATCATATTCATATAGTATACGTCACTAAAAAGGAATAACTTTCTAAAATGTTGTTACAGTCGCGTAAAATCTAACTACAGTTCTTAAATGGAAATTTCTAGCAGAAATGGAACTCAATTGTAGGGTTTTGTTTCATTTTTAGATTATTATATGGCGCGTAATCGGTTGCAAAATGTGGCCAGAAATTTTCTTTTAAACCTTCATTCTGCCTCAGTTGATAATAGTGCCCTCAGTTTTGACAGCGGTTAATACACAATTTTGTGAAACTGAATTTCAGCAGAAATTTAACACTTCTGATTCCTTCCTTCCTCGTATATTGCTTTACGAAAGTAAGCAAGGAGGAGTTCATATTTTGAAGAGAATTCCTGGAGTTCTCCAATGGTCTCGCCTATAATAGTCACTGATTTCTTTGGGTAAAGCCTGGGCTAAAATTCCTTACTGTTACACAAATGACAGTGCAACAGAAGTAAGTTCACTATAATTTAACTACGCAATTTTGAAACTACAAGATTATGCATTTAACATAGATAATTCATGCAAAAAATGAAGAATTAACATTAACGCTGTCTGCACTTAATGCATCCAAACTGCGTTACCTTGTAGAGCTAAGTTGTTAGTTTGGACGCATTGAGTCCAAACGCATTAACTTAAGAATGCAATTTGGACATAATGCATTAATTATTATCATTAGTTCATTAAGTCCAAACTGTTTATTAAAAGATGCAAAATGAGGAGCTTTGTGCTGAATCATCTTTCCTTGTTTAGGAAGATTGTTATTACTATCAACAATCTGGGAGTTGTTCCCAGTTACAGACTAACGTGATGTAATCATATTTAAGCAGTCTCTGAATTTGAATTAAAACAGTTGCTGACACTGTAAATCAACTACCTAAAATTCTTGTCCATGATGAATCCAACTTCAGCTTCATCCGGAAGCATAAAATTTACACCATAATAATCAACCTTCTTCTTGTGTTATGCCTATGCAATATTTAACCCCATGAACATCCTACGCCGCATGAACATCAACAATCGACTTTAAAATTCAAATACATGTGGTCATTCAGAATAAAATTTGGTGAACCACCATCAGTACCCATTATTCAGTCAAAAACATGTTTATTCTAAACTATTCAAAAATTTGAGTATCTCTAACTATGTTCCAAGTTTAAAGGAAATATTTTAATTAGTACTGGGAATTTATGTGCTGTGAAATTTCTGTCGTGTTTTTACTTCTCAAATTCTTCTATGGGACAAACTTAACTGGCCTTTCGCCACTCATCTACTTCGGAATCGTAATTTCGTAATTTAACCGCTGCATGTACTTCATTTAAACGTTTCTGAATTGTACATTTTTTGTATTTTTTCCATATATTTTCCACTTCCCCACTACATAAATGTTGCGCATGTTGTTACATATGTACTGACTTTGCTATTTTCGTGTTTCTTTTGCAGTTTTCTCATTTTTATTAATATCATTAGCTACTTTTCTATTGAATTTCCTGGTTTTCAGTACTGAACGTACATATCAAACAATATTATGGTATTTCGAAGATTTTCTTTTAAATTGTACTTTTATTTGTGTGTTTCTATTTATTTTATTTTACTATGGCCTATGTTATTGGCTATAACCGTTTCGGATTTGCTCCAATCAAATTTTATTATCTGATGTTCTCCCCTATTCTGATTGTCTATCTCCCATTCATAAGGCGGTCGCCCCCCCCTACGCATACATACACATTTTCCCTCTGGCATTCGCTCATGTCCGCACCACAGCTTGCTAGTTCATTTGATAGTTAAGTGCCTGCAGTGGCGCCCACATGTCACTGTTACCCTGAGTTAGGGTCAAATGAAAAGTTTCTCTAAAGTACCAATATTAATAACTTAAAAAAATAAAGAAAGAGTACAGATAGAATTTCATTTTATGATTTTTTTAAGAAAAACCACTCTCTTTTTGTAAAATATTTTATTTAAAAGCAATTTTTCACAAAATAAAAAAGCTGATTTTGTTCGAGAATAGGTTTGGATAGCTTCTGCTCATATCACCTATATTCTCCGAATGCACGTTCATTTAATACAGAAAGTTTTAATTTCCAGAATCCAACACGAGCAGACACCATACTTTATTAAACAATGGGAAAATTAATATTAAAACAAATAAAAATATCTTACCTAAATAACTTTCTCCCTTCATTTCTCATTTCAACTTGCCGGTGAGACTTTCTTTTCTCCTCCCCAAGGCTTGAATTTGGATTGGGCCATCGTTGAAGGATAGCAAAAAAGAGGATTGCGCATTTGACTTTTGGAAGTATCGTGGTATTAGATTATGTATTCCACGTCCAGCTGTAATGTATCTGTTTGTAATTCTTTTCATGTTTAAAAGTAAATATCCCGAAGATCATTTATCGAGTCTTTATTGTAAAGGAAGGAAACTGATCATCCTGTCATAGTAATGGGGGAGTGGTTGCTAAGTCCGTTTTAGATTTGACTCCATGACGCAGCCCTAATTCAACACTTAAGTGTTTTTGATGCATAATTGTAATGTTAATATTAAGAAGATTCAATCCTGACTCAC